AATACAAGTTTAAAATTAGTTGAAATATTTTATATTGATAAAATCAAATTAATAAATGGAAAAATAATTGAAATTATATCTTACACTGTTATAATTAAATTCAAAATTATAACTATTTTGGTTTTCAACTAACAAATTGTAATTTGTAAATAATAGACCTCTTTGATATGAAAATTTGTTAATATATTTACATTGCTAATCTGTGGATTTGTCATATTGAAATAATATAATATCTTTTATCTATGGAAATTGCCAAAATCATTGCATCATCATTTTTTCATTTAAATACCCACAATATATAATATATGAATCGAATAGTTTCTTAACCAATACCATTATAACCTATCATATATGTGTAAATGTTTTAAGGTACTAATTTTGTATTATTATTATTGTAGTTAGGTATTACTTATTACTACTAATTCATTAGTATTTCGAAAAAAAAATAATATTATTTACAGAAAGTTGTATCTGTATAAAATAAACGATGTATAAAATGCATAATATTTATTCAGTACTTAATAACATTACATAATATATATAAATATAAAGGGTTTCTTGTATTTTAATTTCGGTAAGTTATTTATTAGTGGACTTCCGGTAAAAATTTCTGAATGGTGAATCCGCCACCTGTTCTTCCTAAACCAAAAACGGGCGTATCACAAGCAACCCTTAAATACAAGGCGACGGATAGAATAAAGAGATTGGTTGAGCACCAATTTGATTGGTGCCAAAAAGAATCGCTGCAACGAACGACTCTGCTTCAAAAGTTCTTCTCCTGATTGTTATAATTGTATCATGCCGTTATTTTAATTCGTTCATTTTCATGCAGCGATACAAATGTGACCGTTTAGTGCCCAATGTATTTCAAACGTATGAAATTCAATAAACTACAATACCATAAATAAGTAAAACCCAAAGATCGCGGTTTCACATCACGGTACTGCAGTAAGTTTGATATTTCTTTTGGATTGAGCCCTAAAGTCCCTCCTAGCTACGGCACTTCTATAACCCATACAGAAACAATTGTAACAATAACAATTATTGTAATATTATCATTCCACGATTTTTGTATTTGAGAACTTGTAGCGCTAACGTGAAGTTTGGTTACCCCGGTATAGACGGTAACCATCCGACTCGACGGTTTACCAAACCAAGCCACCGGGTCATCGAGGTTGCGGTGCACCAAATTCAGACAATCACTAGAACCCAATCCTAGTTGAATGACATGCCGGGGCCTCGTGATCGAGCACGTTGGTACATTTAGACCGACGGCGGCCCTCTGAGGAACGGCTTCTAACATCATGTAATCTGAGTCCTTGTCAATGGACAAGAAGAGATCCGTGTTTTCACCGCCACCATCATGAAATTCGACCAAAGTCTTGTCCTCGGTTGTCAGCTTCAATACCATAATTTTCAAAAAATTTTGGGTGACAAAATCGAGGTTTAAATAAAAATAAAATGGTTTTATAAACGATGTGTGATTTTATGGTCAATAAATAAAATGTCCGATATTAAAATATTGATATTGTATTTGTGGTTACTTGGTGATGTAAGTATGGCGCAAATATTTTAATTTTATTCCTGGCTCTTTGAGCGTCGATGGGGAATACCCCCAGACTCCCCGTTTTAGCTGAAAGTGGATACGGATTTTGGGGACAGTGTCGTTGGAACTATAAAAGTCACGCCTGCAGGTTGATCAAAGCTTAAAAGTCGGAGGTTTTGATAAGTATTGGCTCTTTGGAGATCTATTTTGAAGGCGTGGGTATGTTGAAAGCCGTGTATGAGGGTTGAAATTATGAAAGTTTAAACAGTCCAGTCTTGTATTTTTATGAAACTTGAAAATCAAAATTCTGAAGCCTTGTTTGAGTATCTAGCAAGTCAGTCACGTCAAGTGAAAGTCTTATAAGACTAAGTTACGTAGGTAGGAAATCCGACTGTGTCGCATTGCGGACACGACGGTGGGTGGCTGTAAGCGAAAATAGTATTTTACTTGTTCAAATAAGTGTATAAGTATGCAAGTCCAAAACAAAGTTTGTGTTTTAATCAAGTCAGTCGTCACCTGCAGAGTTTGGTACCAGGTTTACGGTTTATACGGTCCAGTCTTGTGCTTTTATGAAAGAAAAAAAGCTTAAATCTGAAGCCGTATTTAAGAGTCTAACAAGTTAGTCACCTCAAATGAAAATAGATTGAAGTTAAACTAGTCACCTTGGGGGCTGTGAATCGTTCCACGCCAGATTCAACAGCGAATTCAATTCTGCTCGTCCAAATATTTTGAAGGTTATTGACATACTACTATATTAGTTACTAACCCAAATGGCAAATACAATCCTTGACCCAAATTAAAGCTCGAAATCATATCAAACCTAAATCGACAAAAAATAGGACTTCGATGAAAACATTATTCAAGAAGTTTCATCGAATGTAATAACAAACATAGATTATATAAGAAAATAGTGCTTCAAAAATGTATACCTAATGTATGATTTTTTTTAGATTTTAGAGCGGAGTGATGAATGTATTGATTTAACAATGACGTGTGTTTTTTTTTGTATCTGTCATCAGTCATCACGGTTTCTTTCAGTAAAAGTACTTAGATTTTCTTCAACAGCAACTTTTCTGGTAGGAAAGTGAATCTAGTTTGTGCATTCGGGAAGTCAAAATTTTAAATTCCCTTTAGTGTTCAAAAGCAACAGGGAAAACATACAAAAAATTAAGGAAAAACGGGTATTTCTACACAAAACCATTTTTCGAAAAAGTCGATTTTGGTTTTTAGTGTCACTCTAACAAAAATAGCCGTATTACGTGCAATTTTCACTGAATATTTGTATAAGCATTTTCTATACATCATCAAATTTTCAAAATATTTTGATTTGTGTTGAACTATTTTAGGTATATGGAATTTTCGATTATTGATTACTTTTTTTAAACTCAAGTCGATAAAAATCAAAACACTTGAAAAGTTTCAAGTGCAATGTTCCTTGTATGTTTTTGTGTATGGAAATCAAAAAAAAAGTTGAACGTAAATCCACAATAATATTTTATGAGCGCTTAAGCTCATGAAAATTAGCATATTTAGTTAGAAATTCATAAAATGTTTTCTATTCATATCTAAGATTTAGGCACTTATTTTTTTATAAACATTGAAAGTTCAAATTTTGAAAATATTTATCAAATTGAAAATTGAAAACGATTTTGTAGCTAAAGATGTATAAAATTTTCAATTTTTATAGCTAAGGATTGAGCATTTAAAGCAAGGTTCCACTTTAAGAAATCTAAAAATATATGAATATAGTTATTTTTTACAGACATTTTAAGTTTAAATTTGTACAAAATTGCATATTAACACAAAGAATAACGTTTATCATTTTGTTGTACATCTGTTTCAAAAAAGCCCAATTTTACATAGGTATATTTAATATTTTTCCAGCATCACTGATAATCTAAGAATAAAATTAATTCAACTTTCCGGCTACCATATTAATTTTAACTAATAACAATATAAAATATCCTAAACTGACATACCATCTCCGCTCAGAATCGTATACAATGATTTGATATCATTGAATTCAAATTTAATACCATGCATTACAGCGACCTCTTAGACACCTAATGTATAGCAGAGCGACATCCACTTACCCGCTTTTTTACATATACATACATACATACATTTTTTTTACAATTTTTTTATTTTTTAACATATCATATACAAAATATAATTTTTTAATTAACTTAGAATATAACCTTTAAAAAAACATCACATTTTTAAACGCACCTCTTTTGAGACAATCCTAAGTCTGTATCCTGTATGGCTGTATGAATTGTGAAGGAATTTGTATTGTAAAAAACTGGAGCTGTTTTGGGAATCAATACCTTTTTGTAAAACGGGAGCCGTTTGTGAAAAAAGGGAGCCGAATAATCCACGTCCCTCGTAAGTCGGAGTCGGTAAATTGCGTTCCCCATAAAAAAATAAAAATGGGACGCAATTTACAGCGACCCCTCGTTAGTAGTAACCACAGATATAATATATCTATTTATATATATATATGTATGTTTATATATCTGTGGTAGTAACCAACCACTTCCGATCATTAATTTATTTTAGTTGCAAGTCTTAGCGCATGCGCAGTACTAATAATGATCGGGTCTCTTATCAATTTTCTGATTGTCGGGTACAGCGTTATGTTTATTATTGTTCCGTGTTATCTAGAGGCTTAGATCATTGATATTATCACCACAGAATAATTCTGTGTTATCACGATTCACGAATCACGGCTAATATAGAAGATATCTTCCGAGTCCGTGCATACTACGTACGAACAACACCCAAATTTTGGAGGAAAACGGAATAAAATTTTCAAACTTCAGCAGTTTTTCTATCGAAATGTATTCCAATCATTCATCTGATCCCAGAAGACCGGACAAAGAGCATAGGTAATATTAATCACTTTGATATTTTATGATGAACCGTGTCACGATAATTGAATTCTATTAAAAAAAAAATGTTTAAAAAAATTGATGTACCTAATATTCAAATCTTTAAAATGTGTTGTATTGGTAAAAAAAAACAGGGACAAGAAAATTATTCTATTAAAAATCAAAAATTTTTATTTTAATCATATAAATATTTTAAGTAGTTAGGTAGGTACTTACGTTACTTTAATTTAAGAAATAACAATTTTAAAATTAACAATCAATTATACTTTGAATTTGATTTGGAATTTGCAAAATTGCTTTTATTTTTTCCTCTTTCATCTGTTCATTAAATGTTCATATTGGAAAAAACTCTACATTTACGTTTTAAGCTGGAATATCAAATATATATTGACAAAGTTTAAGTAAGTAGTTCGTAATACTGTTCACAACTGTCAATTCTTAAAACAATTAATCCATCTATTTCTTTGCTTTTCTTCTATTGTCTTTAATCCAACTATTTATACCAAGTGTTGGTAACCCACATGTGGCCCTCTTGTAGTTATGTGGCCTGCGAGTAAAATTTTTAATTTGTATAAAAACTGTAAACTTAGATAGTATGGACTGGCATCTATAAATTAAAACATTGTTTGTTTGTAGGTATCTTATTAAATCAATAGATCTAACAGTTATGAACTTAAATAAACTAATATTTGATATGATCATATATTTTTGTATAAAATAAAATAGGGTGTATTTAAATTGTAGCCCATGAAAAACTTTTATTTATTTATTTATTTAAATCACACAATTGTACAACAACGAGTATAAGAAGTTGCCTTTAATATATTACTTACATTCCAGTAGCATAGAGGCCCCTTAATATTGGGAAATATAAATATAATATTAGGTGTAAAATATTTGTACAATAATCAGTCCTAGGTTTTGCTAGCATGTTCCACGATGTACCTTGCAATATTTGTGTCTTATTATATTAGTTGCATTAAAATATTTGTTAAAGGGAGCAAAAGTATACATAGCTGTTTTTTTTGTTTTTATTAACCACTGTATTGGGACAAAACTGTTTGCACGTGACATGACCTCCATGCAACATCAAAATCGCTGAGGCCTGACTTATAGAGTGTGGACTAAAATATTGAATCCTTACCGATTAGCACCAATCATTGCCAACATCTTGGTATGACCATGATGGCAACCAATTTCCCAGAAAATGTAGAACCTGAACCATAGAATTATGGAGTTAATTCATCTTATACAATATCTGAATAATGATTGCAGGTACAAACCAAAAGCTGTCAACAGTGATAATCAAGCTCTAACACCCGGTGAAGATTTGACGTCTGATTATATGAATATTTTGGGTATGATTTTGAGTATGTGTGGATTATTAATGAAGGTAAAACTAATTTATATTTCATGTGATTTTAGTCATAAATCTTTAAATTTTAACAACTTTTAAACATTTATTTTGCTAGTTTAAATGGGCAGCGTGGTGTGCAATGTTTTGTTCATGTATAAGCTTCGCAAATTCTAAAGCATCTGATGACAACAAACAAATCTTTAGTAGTTTCATGTAAGTATCTATGTATATTCTATGTTTGATTATTAATTTTACACAATATTATTTTTAGTTTCTGTGAGGCATTTATTTTTGAGTAATTATTAGACTATCCCATATAAGTTTATATCACTTAAATTACTTCTACAATTGATTAAAAAAATTGCATAATATACAATGTTTTATAACTTGTCGGGCGGCACCTCTGGGAGCCTCCCTATTCTTAATATTAATGTCATTATACCATGTTTGTATAGATTGTAAAAACATTTACTATTTTAATAAGTACTTCTTTTATTAAAATAATTGTCATAACTGTTTTCTAAAAAAATAGTAAGTCAATCATTTAGCAATCAATAAAATATATTTTATTACTATTAAATCAATGTAAATTATAATAATTTTATGGGAATAAAATATTATTAACTTATTGATTCATTCAATTTATTATTTACATAGTTATTAAGTATCTTATAATGTTATCTATATACATATAAAAATATGGTAAAAGGATGTTTTGCCCCAGTCTATGAGTCCGCAAACGTTTTGTTCTCGTCTGTACATTTGTAAATGTATTATATTTTTATACAGGTAGTTTATAATTTATTAGTATTATTTGAAAATTAAATTTGACATTTTTATCAAAAAAATTGTATTGTAGGTAATCTATTTTAATACATTATTCTCTATGTTTAATTTATTATATTATATTATTATTTTCAGCCAATCCCCTGTAATATCATACACTAATTTTGGCGTGTTCTGCTTATGAAATGTATGGTTATTGTGAATTTAAATATGTTTGCCGCACGTCAAATTATTATAAATTGTACTGAAATTGTATGTTTAAAATCGTTTTATAAAATGAATTGAAATTTAAAATATAAAAAAGCTATTTCAAATTCTGAGTAACCAACTTCCTATGGATAAATAACATCATATAACTCCCAGGAGGCCAAATGTCTATCTTAACAACAGAGAGGGATGAAAAATCTGTGGACTCGTTTTTATTGACGAGGACGAAACATCTGTGATTTTAAAAATGGATGTCTTTTTTATAACTAAATCTCAAAAACTATTGGACCGTTTACAACAAAAGTTATATCAATAGATTCTTTAAAAATTGAAGAGTATTTACAGCTTATTTTTTTTCAAACAATCTTAATTTTAGTTAATTTTAGCAATATAAAATTGAAAAAGATTTTACTTTTAGTAGATGGATAAAGAGGGGGGGGGGGTTGGTGTGAGCCAAAGCTTCACACAGCTCACCTTGCTATTGTAACTTAGCTCACAAAAAAAAAGATTCAATAGATTGTTACTACATAATTATAAAAAAAATGGACATGATTTTTTTCCTACTTCAGTAATTAATTTTAAAAAAATAGTAATATTATGTTCATTATTATTTTACAGGCTTTCCATGTCAGCAATTGTTATGTCTTATTTACAAAATGCACATCCAATGACACCACCATGGTCTACAGCGTTTGGATAAGAATTTGGATTTACAAACAAAAATAAAAATAATGATTTATATTTATTAGGGTTTACTAATAATACATCGATTATTTTGTCAAAACTATAAAAATAAAAAATATTTACATTGTTAATATTATTTAAATAAAACTCTAATCCAGGAATTTAACTTATTATATTTATAAACTACTTGAAAATTATAACATAATCTTAAAAAAAAAAAATGACTCAATTATTATATTCAAGCTAATAACTAATTACATATTGTTTCAGCCTCATGACTCTTCAAACGAGTTAACAACTCATTCATACATATCTAAAGCAATCTCCCTCTACAGTAATTTGACTCACAATGACATTTCATCTTTTTTCCTGGAACACTTCCTATATCATAGCTATAATCCCAAGTAAGTTCCGTTCCAGCCTGTATATAATGGAGTGCAAAAAACGATACCCATGGGAACCGTAAGTCATGTGTATCCACAAATACATTTTGGACAAATGTATTTGGAGAACATGAATGATTTAAATAACGCCCAATGTTGCCACTAGTTTTGGCATCCATGATATATACACTCTCGTTGTCTCCAAAGTATTCGCGCATTGATTTTGGAGGCTCAGGGTTGTTCTTTATTGCATTCAATTTGGGTAGAACTTGCACATGTTTGCCATCTTTTTTGATATTTGGCTTTTTGCGTTTGCGCAAATTTATAGTCAGTTCAGATCTCCTACCTGAGAAATAAAAAAATTATAAGAATTATAAATTATTATTAATTAGTAATAAAAAATTACCATCAGATGTACAAGGATAATTTTCATCGGACGATTCGGATTGATTCGTCTCAGTTTCAATTTCATGATCACTGCTAGGTATATCACTTTCATAATCTTCTTTTATTTTTTCTACAACTTCAATATAATCTAATTCTGCCAAATATTCATCTCCATAATTTTTTCCGCCTTCATTGGCATCAGTTTCAGTCAACAAATAACCGACATAAATACATATGAAACTTCCTTGAGGTATATCATTTAAACATCGTACACCCCATCCCTTTTTCTCAGTCATAAATAACTGTAACTTTTGAGACAATGGGTTCTGAACCACACGATTTAAACATGAACTGGAACATTTACATGTTTTATTGCATTCATAAATACCTGTTAAAACTCGTTCGGGCAATCTTCGATAATTGTAACCAATATTTGGGTCTTTGTAAAGATTAGGTAAAATCTTCTGTCCGTCTATAGTCAGCTGCCAACAAGCACATTTCGATTTATCTTGGCAGTTGTCAGTGCAGTCACATCCGCATAAGAATTCACTCTCTACATTTATATTAACACCTGGCATTGCTCGTCTAGTAGTCATGTAATCCATTTTTGGGGGTAATGTATTGTTAATAGTATTCACACACGGTATGCCCCTAAATTCTTTGCCCTGAGATATATCTTTCAAAAATTGCACACCTTTCATGACTTTATATTCTGCAAATGGTTTGACCCAACTATTAAAATCGAATTGGTCAATAGTCATTGTGCTTTTGGTAACAACAAGATATTCAAGCATCTGTTTCATGTTTCGAATAACTATACCTCACGGACTTCTGTACATGATACATTTTTGAGATTTATTAAACTGCGTTAGATACCTGACAAAACCAAAATGTAACGGAATAGTCAACATGCTAATAGTTCTAGTTCTACCATAGTTATATAATGTCCATGCAACACATGAGTGACTACATTTGTGTTTGCGATACTTAATTGGATCAGGAACCGATTTAGGCAATATTATCTCAGTAACCATAGAAACATTGGCCTTATTTTTATTACATTTTTGAGTTCCCTCACTAACGGTTGTTGAATTTTTGCTTGTACTTTTACGAGCTACACCTTTAGCCAATAGGCGAGAGGGCTCTTCTTCCACACTTGTGAATTCCACAAATGGTTTTTTTAAATATGCTAGTCCAGATTGTCTTAATCGAATGCCTTTCTCAGACTTGCTCTGCTTTTCAAAAATATTATACAAACGTGAAGAACCACGATATATCCACTCGCTATGTTTGAAATCAGTAAAATATAGTTTAACCAAAGATGCATCAACTTCAACCACTTTTGCAGTTTGCCACAGGAGGTTATGTTCTGCTCGTACTGAATGTTGATTATTCAACTTAACCATTTGACGTTCAGGATATTTTTCTAAATAACTTTTTATAAATTCCTTGGTATTCTCGGGTACTTCTTTCCATACATCATTTACACTTGTTCTACATGCAATCAAACGAATATCTTGGTGTTGTCGATATTGAACAAAACCAACATCAAAAAAAATCAAGTATCTAAAAAACAAATAATTATTAATATTAAAAAACATTGCTATTAAAAAAATAACCTTACCGAAATTTATTAAGCATTTTTGGAGGTTCAGCTACTATACCAGCATAAAATTCATCGATGCTTTCAGAATTAGGATCCGTAAACTTAGCAATTACTCTGCAACCCACAGGAAATCTTACTTTGTTCAGTGTAGAGTATGCAACTTCATTTGTTGCTAGTAACTTTCCATTAGACTGAAACAGGACATGTACAAAACCTTCTGCAGGTACTCTTTTGACTATACCTCTATACCATGGATCTGTTAAAGTTAACTTCATTCCATATACAGTCTGTGAAATCTCAATACTAGGATAATCTAAAAACCCTTCTTGAGGTATATTAGCTGGTACAACACAAACGGTTCTATCAATAGTGATAATATCTTCCTTGTCAGATTTATCTAGTTTTAACCTTTTGGCTTCTTTAGAAGTTTTGACTTCCTCTATAAGCTTGTTGATTTTTTCTTGAGGCACCTCGATTTTTTCTTGAGGAATCTCTATTTTTTGTTGAGGCATCTCGACTTTTTGTTGAGGGATATCAATTTTTTGTTGAGGCGTCTCGACTTTTTGTTGAAGGATCTCGATTTTTTGTTGAGGCGTCTCGACTTTTTGTTGAGGCGTCTCGACTTTTTGTTGAGGCGTCTCGACTTTTTGTTGAAGGATCTCAATTTTTTGTTGAGGCGTCTCGACTTTTTGTTGAGGTATCTCGACTTTTTGTTGAGGCGTCTCGACTTTTTGTTGAGGTGTCTCGACTTTTTTTCGTTTCTCTTTTATATTCTCCTCCAACTCATTGATGTCCACAGATTCTATATTCGTTCTAATTGGTTCATATGGATTATATATTTCATTTCTTAATGATGCCATTTGATCTTCTAAATCAGCAGCAAGCTTATCAATTTTATCCGCATCAACCAAACATTCGTTTATTCCTTTATCAAGAAACTCATCGCATAATTTAACTTGTTGCTCAAATAGGTATTTGTTTTTATCGAAATAATGAATGACTGCACTATCAATAGCATTTTTAACATCTTGGTCAGGAGGTAAACCCACCCTAGAAGTACTAGGCTTAGGTTCTTCTACTTCTTCTTCGTCATCTTCTTCTTCTTCTTCCTCTTCTTCTGATGAATCAATAACTAGATATGAATCAAAACTTGGAAAACTGTTATCCATAATACATTTTCCCTCCTTCCATTTCATTTCAAGATATTTATAATGTTTAAGACATTTGGTAAAACACGTCATGCAAACCTAAACAAACCACAACAATTTAAATCAAACTCTCTATGTAACATTCAATTTGCTATACATTACCTCTTTGCCAGGTTTGTAATCAACGTCATAGTAAGTGCACACTATTTCCACAGCATTGATTAGGGTATCGCCATAACTACAACGCCTGTTTATACATCTGAGTTGACGCCTTTGTTCCTCCAATGCTTCGGGGCTGATCTGATATGGATCCAACTGTTTACTCGATGAGGCCATGTTTATTTTCTAGTCAAGAAAATATAAATTACAAATTAATATACAAATGAAGCATAATATGTGTAATGTATTTATGGTTTACCCTCTACACAGATGGAGATGCACAAATTATGTCACAAATTAAACTCTGGGGTTATTAGGTACTCAAATAATAAATACATACCTAAACACAATTTATAAATGGAATTATTTAGAGGATCATCAATTTGAGGAAACTCCTACAAGAAATGCGAGTATCAAAAAACACATTTTTTTCGTGACTGGTTATCATTGAATAGAAACTAGAAAGTATCTCTAATATTTTTCGAGTATAAACTAGGGATACATGGTTTCAGCGGTTCATTAAATTATTATTATATTATTTACCTACTAATCTACTGTACTCCCATAGAATGATACTACAACCTACTATAGGTAACTAAAACTGGACATGTAAATTGTAAATAAACATTGTAATACTATTGTACTAAATTATGTACTTTTAGTACTAACTACTAATATTCAATTGTGGATATTCGGTTATCGATATCACCAACGAGCTATCTAGTATCTATAAGGAACCCAATAAATAAAAGAACCAAAAGTTGGTAATTCGTAAAGTAAACTCAAGTATTAATAGAAAAATAGAATTATAGAAAAGTGAAAACAAAATAACTGTAAGAAGTTAACGTTACAAAAATATTTCATAATATTATAGAAAATAAAAGTCGCATAAAATAAAAAGTATATAAACATAATTTTAATTCCTGAAAGTTGAAAGCCTGAAATTATAATCACAGACACGTCGTAGCTTACAAGTTTTACTAAAAGTGATAATGTAGAGTGGTAGACCGTAAATCGTAATTTTCGAGAAAAATAGTGAGGCATAAGTATTAAGTAATTACATGAAAAAATAAAAAATAAAAAAAAGGGGGTTTCATTAGGTAACCAGTAACCACTCCACAGTTGTAAATGTCAAGTGTACATGAGCGTGTGCATAGTCACTTTGTGCACTACATAAGACAAAGTTTTCTAATATAAAATTTTCTTTTTTAATTGCCTGTGACACAGCGCTATTTATGTGCCACACAGTCCATTAACTAAATTATAAAGTTAACTAGTTATGCCCTCAAATTTCACTGCGTAAATGTGATACATACATTTGTTGTTATGTGTTATCAATTGTATTCTATAAAGTACCTACTCAAGCTTAATACTTAAAAGTTCCTGTTCGAAATATAAATTTTCGACTTTTTGAAGATTTTGTTTACTTTTGGGAAATGGTCACTGAACCTTTGAATAACATTGATGTTGATACCAAGAAAATATTTTGGTAATTTGGAGGATACGCTTGAAAAATACAATGGCAAGCAATTTTTAAAAATCTAATAACATTATTTTTAAAAGGCTGAAAATAATTATTTTGGACAAATTATTAGTTTAATGAGGAATTCATTCCAACAATAATAGTGGATTGCATAGGTATACCCCCTTCTACAGTTTTATTACAACAGCAGCTTAATGCAATATCAAACTTTCAAGTAAGGTGATGTTGACTGATAGATGAAATTAAATACATGTATATTATTTTGTAGATTGTTTTTGGAGACCTAACAGGAATTGATCACAGCAATGTATCCAAAATTATTAAAATAGTTTCGGATCAGATTGCTGAATCATGTTAAGTCTCCTCAAACTGAAGCCGAATGGGGGAGTCATTTGACAAAATTGTTATGATATAGCTGAATCTGGAAATCCAGGTGTTGGAGGTTGTACTGACTGCATTCACATAAAAATCCTAAATCCAGGTGGGTCCTTATGCAGAAATATTTTAAAATCGTATAGGATGTTAGAAATTTTCTGTTTTACCAGACACCCTATTTTTGCTATTTTTTTTTGTTTTAACGTATGTAATGAAGCATACCAAAGACGATGGTGAAGTTAGAATTGGCGGTCTAACTTAGTTTTAAAATTATAGCTTATTGAAATGTATAGTATTTTCATATACTGGTCATTCTGTGCATTCTTGGTCAAATAAATTGAAAACATCCCAAGGGCCATGATTTGTTATGTAAAACCACCTTGGGTAAGTCTAGAAGTTAAACAAATTTATTAAAAGCATGTATACATTATACTCTATACAGTGTACGTTACTCCCAAAATTACCCACTCACTAAAATTCTTTGGGGCAATAGTCCCAAAAAAACTATGTTCATGACGACTACTGTGTCAGCCTTTATCACCTGGTATATTTTAAGATAAATTTACATTGCTATTATAGAAATTGATTTCACTATTACTATTACTATTAATTATACCTACGTCCCACAGTACATTGAACTACTTTGTCAAAAAAATTGCATTGAGTGTATTATTAATACTTAATTATGTATTATAAATATAATAGCCAAAAGGTAGTTCCTGTAGGCAGGGGCGGAGTGGGAACCAAATCCAAGCCAGGAGTTTAACATTTATCCAGGCCACCCATCAAAAATCTTTTGTACATACACACATATTAAAGCAACATAAAAACCAATTTATTTCTAAATTTTAACCAAAAATGTTTATTCTTTACCATTTTGTTTACGAAATTTGAGTCTTATAACCACATTTTTTATATTGTTTTTGGCTACTTCCAGACCGCTTCAGACGATTTTGAGTCTAATAAGCAACTGAACCTTATATCTGTGAATCTTATAAGCGGCGTCCACTGTATTAATAATTATATATTGTGTTTTAATGGTTTAGGTATTATAGGTATATGGAAATAAGTAATAAATAAATACATAAAAGATTTATATATTTATAATAATAATTTAGATAATAGCTTAGATTTCTCACCAACTGCATTTATGATAATATTATTATCTATTTCCATGTTTTATTATAAAAATATCCAGTCTATATCAATGTATTGCTTTGATTTTATTTGATGTCTCTTTTTATGTACCAAATATTTTGTAATTTTATATCCAAAGCTTTCTCACACGATTGTACGAGGCTATTACTATGTACTATTATCTCATTAATAATATTTGTAATACAATAATTTAATAGAAACAAATTTTTGACACATTTAGCATTTACTAATATTTTGAAAATTAAAGTAAATCTAACAAAATCTAACAAAATGGACAGGACCAGGGCATCTAGAAAATTCCCATTTTCACTACGGTCACTCCGCCCCTGCCTGTAGGTATACATTTATAATATTATCATGTACCTATTATTGTTACTAACTTTTGAGTCAATATTGATTTACCATAGAATGGTGTAAAAACAGAACATCACACCATGATATTTTATTATAGTTAAATTATTAATTTTATCAATATTATTATTTTTAAATAATGAATATTTTTTTTTGCAGTTTCAACAAAATATATTTTGTGATTTGTAAAAAAGAATAAATATTTAATTAATTTGTTATTGCATTTACTAAAAACTAAGCATTTATTATTGAATGGAAAAAAGATAGTTACCCCAAATCATTACCTAAAATTCCAGTCAATCAAATCCATCTACTAAAAACTTAATAAAATCAATTTAATTTATATTTATGAAACAAAAGTTAAAGGCAGCATAGTGATTCAGTTATAAAGGAGTATGTTATAAAAGTAAAATTAAAGTTGTCAAATGTGTACATTTATTGTTAATGTATTCATTTAAAGTCTATGTTCAAATATTTCCTTATTTACATTAAAAACAAAAACATTATATATTCATGTAGGTAGTATTATTAATACATTATTAATTATTCAAAAGTTCATAGATATTATCTATTTAGAACTTCAAATATAAATCTACTGAGTATAATAGTATTAAAAGTTAAATGTGTGCTACTCTAGCTGTGTAATGTTAAAATAAATTAAATTAATTATCTGAAGAATTAATTTAGTTTCCAAAAAACCCTAGCCCATATAAAAAATGATCTGCTCCAATCACCTAACCCTTTGGAAAAAATGCTAGCGCCGTACCTGTACTTTACGTAGTTACATAGGTACAACTGTACAAGTTTCAAATCCTACAAATAATATTTTTTAAGTTCATCAAAATGGTTATTATTTGTTTAAATATCTAATTTCAGTAAGTACCTACTGGCTTCTATACTTATTACTTATATTACATTTTCAAGCCTTATGACTATAAAAATTGAATATTTAAATGAAATAATTTGCATATTTTCATGATTTTGATGAATTTTACTATCTATAAAAATATAAACGATTATTAAAGAAACTTATAAATTATAATTGTTGTTATTTTTGGAATTTAAAAATGTTGAGTCCTACACTGCTACTATTGTGACTTGCTATTATCATATTCTCCACTGCACGGGAAAACAATGAACCACAGATTATAATATGTATGGCTATTTTTTCGATTTCGGGCGGTGGTATGTGCTTACGAAATAGTTTAATTTCAAAAGATAAGTAACTAATTTTTTAATCGAGTAGGGTTCTGTAACAATTTGTGAACTATGCATAGAGCTGATACTATCAGGCAGTGGCGTCTATCATAAAAAAAAATACGTGTTGCTCAAATAATTTTAGGTGACCTACCCCTCATTACACTGCTGTTATACCGACCTATACTATGTCCTATTTTTCTTCTATCAATACCCATCTACCTATTTTTAAGGTGTTGCCTTAGCAACACTTGTACCCTATGTTACACGCCACTGCGATCAGGTCTATGGAATTGTGACATACTTGAATTTGAGTGGCGTCATCGTCCGGTAATCGCTCTTTCGATTTGTCATCTTCGAGTGCGTCGTGTACGTCTCCTTCACACACCGACATTTGATCGACTCCATTTTGAATGTTTTTGAGAGATTGTGTCGATATCTTTCCATTAGCGTCTTCTTCAATTCTGACATCATGAGGAGATTTGACGGAACTTTTTTGGGAGGATTTTATTTCATTTCGTAAGCGTTTGATTTGTTTGTATTCCTTGGAAGCAGATAAGCTCCGTCTGCTCAAACAGATATTATTTTGCAATTCAACAAGTTTAGTGTAAGTTTCGTAATTTACTTTTCCAGAATCAGGAAGAAATATAGTGTCCCTCTCTTGTTGTTGTTTTTCATCATTCTCTCGACTAACTTCGGTCCATTTCAGTGGACATCCTTCGAATTCCGCTACTTCACGTTGATATAAAAACTTAGCATACATTTCATCTTCAGTTGTTTTCGAACTGCATGGAGTGGCGATCATGAATTCCTCGAATTCTTGGCGTTCGGCCATTGCACGTATACGTTCGCGAAAGGCTTCACGGCGATTAATAAACGAAAACATAGTTACAAATTTAAAACAATTCAACAAAATTAACTTAATTTATAAAGATGAGATCAAATATAACTATTGTAGCACAAACGAAATTCAACAGGTACAATTTTATAATAATATGATAAAAAACGGAGCGTTTAGGTTTGGTTAGGTAAGGTTAGGTTAGGATTGATAAGGTTTTCTAGGAGCAACATGTATTATACTGTAACACGAGTGACGAAACAAAATCGGCCAGAATAAAAATTTGTACCCACTAATCATCTATATTTTAAATCTGTAAATAATTTATTAACCTATTATCTACATAATGTTATTTTAATTAATGGGATTTTGTGTAAACCAGTGTTTCCCAATCGATAGTCCGCGGCACCATAGATTTTTTTTTAAATAGGGAAAAACATTACTACTTATTGAGGGACTATATTATTTTTGTTAATAAGAAAAAAAAGATCTTCCTAGTTTTTGTAAAATTGAGGCGGGCCTATAAAATATTGTCGAAGTGGTCCGTGGTGGTAAAAAGGTTGGGAAACACTGGTCTAAACTAATAATCGTGTACTTCGATTAGAACAAATGAGAGTGTCGGTTCGAAATAAAGTTGGCTTAATGTAGACGTTAGCTGTATGTTACAGTGGTTTTAGTTGACATTAGAGAACAACAAGATGTTTGAAGTTTAATCATACCAACGAGTAATGGTAGTGGTTAATCGTCTCTTTATAATTTAAGGCCCTTGTAGTTATCATTATTGAGTTATCAGCAACCACGCGTTAAAATATATTCACACATCTACATAACGTAACCTATACTCTAACCTAACCTCACCTACCATAAGCATATGAAACATCTAGATGGCGGGCTGCATATTACATTCCCACAGGAACGTTGAAGTAGTGCTGCTATATGTCAATAGGGCAATGTTTACAAAATAACTCAATAGATAAGATACCTATATTTATTTATATGATTTATATATCACGAATACATTATTATCAACTATGCAATTTTGCCCTGTTGGCATACGGCAGTCGACTTAAATATTATCTAGTCGTCTTACATGTCTCAAGATTATAAAGAACATTATTTAACCTTAATTTTTCTTTATAATCGTGATATGTCTATAATACTCACATGGTGAGCGGGGTTCCTATTATTATCAACACTGGACATTGAATTTTTTCAGCGCTACTAGTGGTTTTATTTGGAGTCACATTTCAATCTTAATCTGTGTTTTATACGGATGGCGTTATTGTTATAAGCTCTAAATGCTCATTGTGTCTCCCCCCTTAACTTTTGTAAATACATTCGATGTAATTTGTATGCTGCTTGGTTCCAGTTCAGCTTGCTAAGCCCTCCCTAAATACGCCTATTTCAAGTTATTTGCACAGTTAGATTTTGTGGATGGGTACTTACAGATACATTTGTCTAAAAATGCAAAAGAATCAGAAAATAAAATTTATATCACACTGCACGAAACTAGATAGTTTCTAAAAATGCCTTTTGGCCTAACAACACCATCAGAATTTCATCGGTTAATGGATTAGTTATTAGGATTGTTGAAAAATTAGAGATAATTTAGTTATACCAGTTAAGTGTTAGTTTGGAGCTGTGCAATTTAGGATGCCTAAATTTATTTATTTATTTATCTATTTATGATGCCCAACGAGCTATGATAAAATTGTCGTTTATTGAAAGTAGTTTTGACTCCTGAACAGCTGACATGTGTTAAGAAACTGGAAACACGAGACTAGCACTCCAAACGGATGATTTGTCCAACTATTTCAAATATAAAACTAATATTAAATATATTATTTATGGCTGCTCTTTAGGGCTTAGGCTTCTTTTACTTATTAGACCCTTAATATTACTTTATGATAGTATATAATATTATACATATATGAATATATGATTAAGAACCAAGATATTTTATAAAGGAACGTGTAATATTATTAAAAATAAATATTTTTTAGTACATTAAAGTTGTTTGTTTTATAATTTTTTTCAACATGTCTTGTTGTGTACCAAATTGTCCTTCAAAAAAAACAAAAAGTACCTTTAGTGTACCAAAAGATCAATACCGTTTTAAAGTTTGGGAAGATAATTTAGGTATACCATTAAAAACTAAGTTCAGAGTTTGTGAAATGCACTTAAAATCTCAAGATATTTTAAATTAATGGGTATCTGGCCAGGGTCTAAGTAAATATACGGTGAGAATGAGTGATCTATAGTCGTGAAATTTTAGTTTATCGCATAAGCATAATATAAACTTTTCAATGCTGCGTATATATTAAAATATGTGAATTTGGTTTACCATAATTGTTTTCACAGATATGTTTATAAAAAACCTAAATTAAAGGATGGTGCTGTACCAATAAGTGTACAATTATATGACATCAGTCAAATAAGTATAAATAAATCATATTCTAATATGGGCAGTTATATGGATGTATGGAAGTTGAATAAAAGTATGTGGAAATTTAAATAATGCTGTATAATGTCAATCATATCGAATAAATCCACCAGTAGCGCTAGTGCTAATTTGCCCGGTCATGATAAGGTAGAGTAATATTAGCTTTCAATTTTACTTGACTCGTTGGGCATCCATACTATCTTAATTCGTGGAGCCAGGCGTAGGGAAAACAAAATTTACCATCTAAAGTTTAGATAATACCTAACCTTAGATTCTAAATCAACTTGTGAATCCTATTGAGTGTAATATAATATATGTTTTAGATGCCTTTGAACTCCACCAACAAGTAGATGTTATTTATACAGATTTCTCGAAAGCATTTGATACAGTAGAGCAGGGATTCTCAAACTGTGATACGCCTACCACTTGGGGGTACTCGAAATGTTTTAAGGGGTACGAGCCTGGCCAACAAACCAACAAGGACAAAATTCTTTAAAAGTCTTTACATTTTTATATATACATTTTAATTTAGTAACTAAGAAGGGGTACTCAAAAAAATGTATTGATAAAAAGGGGTACAGTGTTTATAAGAGTTTTAAAATCCCTGCAGTAGAGAGATAGAGATACATTAATCCTTATTTTAGATAAGCTGGGTGTGGGAAATCCTCTATACTTAATAATAAATCGGAGAACTTAAAAGCGACATTTGGTGGTACCTCAAGGCTCACATTTATATTTAATATTTGCATTAATACTTTATCGAAGAGTATCTCCTTGTGGAATACTATTATTTGCCGATGACGCTAAAATAGTTCATAAAATTAAAACTCCAGATGACTGTACTATACTGCTCATTTCTATGTATAAACTAGTTGATTGGTTTACTTTGGTTGGACTCTCTTTAAATATTGATAAATGCAAGGTAATGAGATTTTTCCGAACACGTAACAAGATTAATTTTGATTACTTAATTCATAATAAATGCCTACCTCAAGTAAATCTTTTAGAAGATTTAAGATTTACATTAGTTTCTATCATCTCTATCTTTTAAAACTCATGTCAAACTCATTACTTCCAAAGCACTGCGTACATTGGGTTTTATTCGTCAAAATTTGTCGGACTTAGACCAAGCACATTGCTTTTTAATTTTATTCACATCTCTAAGTCAGTTTTGGATTAAGGATCTGTTAAATGGTTCCCTTATTTTTAGAAAGATATACAAAGGATTTAAAGGGTCCACAAACACATTCTTTCTTCAGCTGGTTATACTTTGAAAATTATTCATCCTCCTCATAACTATACATCGATATCAGAACTTCTGAACTTATGAGACCTTGAACTCAGAAGAAAAATGATAGATATAAGATTCATAAATAATTTAGTTCTTGTCAACATCGATGCTAGCCGTCTACTAGATACTAGATAGGGTTAGTGGCGCATCTAGGGAGATGCAAAAAGGTTTTTAGCAGCCCCAAGTTAAAATTTAGCACCCCTCGTTTTTTATATCCAACTTTTATTATTTTATTAAAATACCATGAATTTTATGTTTTTAAATCATCGAAAATTTCCTGAAAAAACGTATAATTATTTGGTCGTAAGCCATATAATATAATCCATTATAATTCATTCCATATTCGGATATTCCTATAATTGTTCTACGATTAACGATAATGTATACATGAAAAATATTACTTACGAGCTATTTTTAGCCAATAGGTAATAGGCCGCATCAAAAAGCACTATAATATGTATAGTATATTATACCAAATATATTGTGTATACTGCGGTGGACTGCAATATTACTGGTGAACCCGCATGAGTTGTATAATAACGTTTTATTTGGTAAATCTTAATCATATAATCTTTAATCTTTATACATTAACGATTAAAAATCCATATTTATACAAACTTTTGCAAATTGCAAATAAAATTCCGGTAAGCTCTCGCTGCTACCTGTGATCGAAGTTTTTCGACAATGTGGGGTATAAAAAACTGGCTAAGATCAAGCATGCTTCAGCAGATTTCCTAATTTATCTTTGCTGAATATTGAAAAAGATTTATTTAATCAGCTAAATACCAAAAATATTTTGTATAAATACTTCATGAAACCCAGAAAAATTATGTTGATTTAAAATGTATGATATCTTAGTTATTTATTAACAAGATTATGATATTGAAATGTACCAATATGTTATTGATATTGTAGTGAAAAAGAGTATTATTAATTTCTTACTTCTATTTATGTGCGTGTGTTAATATGTATTTTAAAGTTTTAATTTATCGATTATTGTAGGTTTAGGTACAGGGGCTACAACTCTGTGATTCATCCACAAATTTAGCACCCGCGTTTTAGAGGTCTAGTTGCGCCACTGGATAGGGTTAAGTTTAATATACTTAGGATTAAATCCCGTAATACACAGGTTTTTTTAAATCAGCTCTAGAATAACAATTATATACGTAATGACCCTATCCAGAGAACCATGAGTATAATTAATTCAGTATTTTTTTTTTAATAAAAAGGCACCCTTAAAAATATTTTTTATATACAACGTATTGCATACTATGCATATTGAATATACTATGTTGATGTTAAATTAACTATTTGATTTGTATGTGCATGTCTGCGCTACTTGTGAATAAGTTGAAATAAAAGTATACGCTTTTGTAAAT